GCTTGCGGGACAAAGTCACACCCATTTTAGGTAATTTTCACATTATGGAAAGAAAAGCTCTGTATTAAAATCAATTTGTGTAACAAATCAAGCATATCTACTAGATGTCAGACAGCTCAGACACTCTATGTCTATTAATAACAGCACCAAATAGCCCCTACCTGAGAGCTGGACTGCATGTCAAGGGCCCAGTGGATAGACCCTGGCTTTAGAGACAGGAAAATCTGGCTTCAAATTCAGCTGCACCATTTATCATGTGGCCTTTATAAAGAAATCCCTGGCATCTTAAAAATAAAATCCTCTAAGAATGGTGTCTTTAAAATAAAAACAACCCTCCAAGGATGGCAATGGAGAATTCCCCAGAAGAATGGCCAAGGCTCCTGTATGGTACCTCCCACTGGGGGCTCTCTCATTAGTCTGGCCTGGCACTGCTTCCCCTCATGGACCATCTGACCCAAGTGGGTTCTTCCTACCCTTCTGAGGCAGCCAGTCTGCAAAATGGCCCTCTAAGAACCTTCCTTCCCTAGATCTGTACCTCTACCCCCACCTGTATGTACCTCCCTCCCATGCAGAAGGGCCGCATGGTCCTGGACCACTCCTGTGATTCACTTTACCAATAAAATGTGCTGGAAATGATGTGCCAGTTCTGAGCCTGAGCCTTAAGAAAGCCAGGCAATCTGTATTTCTGCATTCTTGGGAGCCAGCCACCATGTAAAAACTCCAACTACCCCAAAGAGAAAGGCTGTGTGGAACGGCCCTGGAGGCTGGGACAGCATGCAGAGAGAAAGGCCACGTGGAAGAACACCAAGGCACCAGACATATGAGTACAGATGCCAGCTGTTTGCTGGTTCCAGCCCAGCTGAGCCTCTAGGACCCCAGCCCCAGCCACCATCTATCTGACTGCAAATGCACAAGAGACACCAAGACAAACCAGCAGAAACCGCCCAGCTGAGCCCCATCAACCCACAGAAATGTGTGAGATGATAAATGGTTGTTCTGTGACTCTAAGTTGTAGGGTGACTCATTAAGGGAGCAGGAGATAAAACATCATTCCTGAACTATCCCTAGCACAGCCCACTCCCCAAGCCGCACCTTGTAAACTCCTGCAGCATAATCACATGAAGCCAAAACGAGGGAACATGAGGTGGAGAGGAGATTCAGTTTAAGGGTGACCTTCTGCAAACAGCGTCATACTTTGTTTGGTTACTCTGAGGTCCAGACCTCGAAGCCAGATGGTGGACTCTAAGAACAGCACCTTGCTCTGTTGTGTCTGCATTCCAACATTATTATTCACCAGAATCATTTCTCATCAGCTCTGGGGATGTTTGCAGATGCCTTACACTATCTTCCAGGTCCCTGATCTCTTCTCTCCATTCAAAGGAACAACAGGTCACAAGGAATTCTCAGGCCAGGATTTAGGTCCTCTAGCCACTGGATCTGTCCAACCACTGGACCATGTCTGACCCTCCAGCTCTTCCCCAGGAATGAATATCTGGGTTTCCCCCTCCATCTACCTTCCTCAGGAGTGGTTTCTCAGCCTCCACACACCCCAGAAGTCTGGCAGACATCTCCTCCCTTACAGGGCCTCCAAGTCTATGGAGGTGATCTTGGCCTGGCTTGGAACTGGCAGAACAACTCCCACAGCCTCCCATCTCAGGTCCTTCATCTCCCTGGGCTTTTTCTCGTTGCTGTTAGAAGCAACTCTCTCAGTTAGAAGAGTTGTTACTCTTCTCCCTCTTCATGGCTCAAGAGACCCTCGAGAAAGACATTTCTAGCTGCTTTGACCTCAAGAGCCTTTGTGTCTCATAGGCAGCTGTGGGTCTTGTCCATTAGGCTGCTGCCCTCTTCAAAGATGAGCGGGTTCCCTCCTCTGCTGGAAGGGACCACCCACCCCCACCCCTTCGATGGCCAAGATCCTGGTGGCCAGCCCCATCAGGGTCCCCCACACTGCTCTGCTTGCGCTGTTTTCCTAGAGGCAACCCTCTGGAAGCCAAGTACATGCTGCCCCATTCTACCACTTCCTTGGGGTCTTGACCAAAAAGATTTCCCAGTAACCAGGACCAGAATCTCCACCAAACAGGCATCTCCCCAGTGGCAGGCTGCTGCAGGAGGGCAAACCTCTCAGCGCTTTCAGATTCAACTCCCAATTCCCCTCCACGGGGACACTTCCTGCAAAGCTGGGCCTCCTCTCAGTTCCCCTTTTCAGATGAACAAAGAAGAAATCCTCGGGGAGTATCTGTTTTGCACAACCCTTAGCACCCTTCCTCCAAGATCTTGGTATCGCTGTTTCCACCACAGAACAAAAGGCACCCTGGGGTACAGGTTACATTGGAGGTGCCAGTTCTCAGCCAGGAACCCACCACCCCTCTCCTCCCCCAGGAGGCTGGAACGATTTGTCTGTACTTGCCTGGCCAACTGTTCCCCCAGCCTGAACTCCATGCCTTCAGCATGCTCAATGCCAGGTACCCCTCCAGCAGACACCCCAGAAGGCTTACCACCTCCTTGGTATCCAGACACCTCTTCTCTGGCCTTGGGGCTTCTGCACTAACTCCCAGCCTTGATGACCACCCAGCTGGTGCTTCTCCAGGCTGATTCCATCTGCTGACCAGTCTACCCCCACTGACTCCCCTGGGACCTCTGCATTCTCCACTAACCGAGTCTGTCTTTGAGGACTCACCCCATCCCAAGGGATTCTCCCCAAAGATCCTCCCTCCCTACCCCACCCTCAGCCTTGAGGTCCAACCCGCCCACACAGGTGGTTCTCAGACACATCACCCCTGTTGAAACTGCATCTCCGTGGCCACTGCAAAGAGTCCCAGGGCTCAGGCCCACCCCTGCCTCCACCTGTGGGAAACCAGCAGCCTCTGAGTAGAGCAAGTTTGGGGCAGGAATGATGCTGGCCAGGAACCACTGCCCTCATTTGGCACGAGCCCTTCAGCCTCCCCTGAGGAATGTTGTCACAGCATGCTGACCTTGGGGGCTGCGATCTCTTTCTCGCAAGGACCCAGACCCTTCCTTCACTTGCCCTTTAGCACAGCTGACCCCAGGCCATCGTATTTAAAGGAGGCACAGAGATAACAGACACCCATCTGAGCTGTTAACCAAATTACTCCCTGGGCAACTGCCTTCCCTTCTCCGTATTCAACTTGTTTGCCTGTAAGATGGGAATGAGGCCTCCCCCTCACAGACTGCCAGGGGAACTGACTCCTGGTAAGTAGTCAACCAAGGTTAGCCCATCTGAGGTCCTGCTCCCAGATGCATGCTGACTTTAGGAAGTTTCTGAAAGCCCCTTTAGGCACCAGAAATTTCTTAAGTATGTAAATGCCACTGGACAGAACTGACACGACACCCAAGACCATCCAGCCACCATTCTGCTGGTTCCCTGGGTCAGCTTCACCCTCCCTGCCCCCGAGGAAGGAAAAAGCAGAGCTGCTCCACTCTTGAAAAATAGCCTACAAACCCACCAGCTCACCCTCACCCAAAAACACTGCTGGCTGAGTCCAGCCAGGGACTCCACAGCCAACAGACACCCAAAGGCTGAAAGTCCGCATCACAATTTCCTGGAAAAGTGTGACCACCAGTCTCTCCTAGGGCTTCGCTGAGCTAGGAACATGCAGCCTCCATCTTCCGAAGAAGCAACATGCTTGCTTTCACAGCTCAATCTCAGGAAAGGAGCGGGAATACTGAGAATACAGTGGAGCCTGCCCTTCGTGTACAGGTTTCTCAAAATACAGAACCAAGAGGGTTCCAGAGCACACTCTGCTGACAGCCAGTGAAAGCTCCTTCCAGCTTAAACTGTGCTCAAATGCTAATCCATCAAGGAGGGATTCTGTTCTCCTCTGGGCCTGAAAACAACAATGTACCTTTATGAGGCCCTACTCTATTTTTGATAACGTTTGCACAGGGCACTTCTTGAGCAAACTTGCCCATAACCATTTCATCCCTTTCTTTGTTTCTTTTTTTAAGTCCCAGGGTGCATTTTCTCTCAAAATTCGCTACTTCGTTCTTTGGGGACTAGGGTGGGGTTAAATTATAAATTCAGTCATGACTTGGGCAGTGTTTTACCAGATGGTTTGCATGTACCTACACAATTGTGGGCAACTAATCATTAGTCTTTAGGACAATCCTGGGGTCAGGAAGCCTTTTACAAACGGGGATGATCTGTAAGGTCACTCCACTCCCACCCCAGAAGTTCAGAAATTCGGATCCCACTCACGCTGTGCCATGAGCTCTGCGATTAGGGGACAAAGAGGCCTCCCAACTGTCACCCAGACAATAAACAGCCAGCCGACTTGGCTCAGCAGGTCCTGTGTAGCCCTGGGGCCAGGCCAGAACAGCTGGAACAAGCCCCTTTCAGATTCTGAACCTTAGCCTGGGGGAAGGTGGCCCAGGGGAATGGGCGCTGCCTGTGGGCTTTGGTACCCCTGGATCAAGCCTGCTGACTGGGCTCGGGCTGGGGGCCAGCAAGCTCAGCTGACCAGTTAAGTGGGCGGCCCCGGGGCGACCAGGCAGCCTGACCCTTAACAGCACAACCGTCCACGGGTCGGCAAGCTCCGGGCTCCAGGGTGGAGACGCGCGGCTGCGGGGGCGAGTCGTTGCCACTTTTCCGATCCAGGGTCCTCTGTGCGCCTTCCCTGGACAGCCGGACTCGGCAGCCCTTCGCAACCCCCCTGCCACCGCCGGGAACGCGCCCGCCAGCTCCAGAACTCACACAGGCAACAAGTTCTAGCTTCCTCGGGGCGGCCGCGGGGTGCCCGGGAGGCCCGGCACGGGGGCGTTTGGCGGGCGATCCCCGCGCTGCCCACGCCGGGAGGGGCTCCCGCTGCCTTCGCCATCCCCGGAGCGCAGAGCCCAGGCTCGGTTTCGCGGCAACTGCGCCCAGCTGGCGTCCCTCGGACAGGGGCGACTTGGGCACCCCCGGTGCAGGCAACAGGTACGCGAGCGCGCCAAGGGCCGGAGCCCCGTGTCACCCCGCCCCCGCCCCCGCCCCTCGCCCTCACCTCCAGCAACTGCACGTAGCTCGCCGGGAACCAGCCGCGGAGCCCGTCCTCCTTCTCGCCCTCCCACCAGCCGCCGTCCGGGACCTGCAGCAGTGTGATCAGCTCACCCGCGGCGAAGCGCAGCCCCTGGCCGTGCCGCTCCCCGGAGAAGGGGTAAAGGGTCCGGCAGCGGACGCCGGACATGGCCTTGGCGCCCGGGCTCACAGCGCAGCCTGCATCCCTGCCGAGCCCCGCGGGCTGGGCAGCGGCTCCGCGGGGTCCCAGGCGCCCGGCACTCCGGGCTCCTGCGCTCTGGGCGCGCGCCGTCTCGGGGCTGCGCGGGGGTCCCCGGCCAGGCGGGGAACGCGCGCTCCGCGCAGGGAAGCGGAGACTCGCTGGCTTCGAAGAGCGAGCGGCGACGCCCCCGGGCCGGGCGCTCGCAGATCCCAGCTCTGGGCGGGGGGGCGGGGCTCAGGGGGAGGAGACCCGGGCGCCGCGGGCTCCGCAGACAACTTCCCGGGGACGCGGAACGCGGGCAGCCGCCGCGAGGGCCAGCCGGAGCAGGGGCCGCTCTGGCGCGCGGAAATGCGCAGCTCCCGGGGGAGGTGGGATCCGGAGCATCACCCTCTGGCCCTCTCCGCGGCGAGGGAGTGGCCGGGCGTACGTGGAGAGGGGCTGGCTGCCGGGTGGCCGAGCGGGGGCTCGCTCCGAGGCGAGGGGGGCGGGGCGGGGGCTGGACCAGGGCGGCCACGCCCGCTAAGGGCTGGGCGCTCCCTCTCTCTGAGGGCAGGTCACTGGGGAGGGGTCTCCCCTCTCACGCCCCCAATGCGGAAAGCCGCGGGACTAGGAACGCCCCTCTGTGCCGTTCGGTAAGTCTTGGGGTGGGTGCCAGGCGGGAGGTTCCTCCGAGGTGCCTGCGTGAGGGAATGTGTTTGTGACCGTCCCTGAAGGGGTTGAACCTGGGGTTGAACTTGACTCACCGGAAACTGAACAATAGGTGAAAGACAGGTTTGCAGCCTGCCGCCTGAACCGGGAAGCCGAGTGGGACGGAGCAGGGAGGCGACGGAGTTGGAGTTCGTAGAACTGGTAGCAGGCCTGTAGGGATAAACGGAGACAAAGTGAGAGAAACAGCCCTCACCGCTTTGCATGCAGAGTCCTGAAATCGAGATGGGCCAGGCCGAGGAGCCTACGCTTCTTTTACTCAGTCACCGAACATTAGTGGGGGGCTGTCACATTCCATGCAATGTGCCAGGTGCCTACAAAGATCATCTGGACAAGTCCTTGCTCTCCAGGGACCAGTGGACCTGGGTGCTTCCGGAAGCTAACCTTGAACTGAGGGTACAGAAGTTAATGAAAGCTGGGTTTCTTTATTAACCTACTCTATAGGAAGACTTAAAATACATTTCCTAAACAGCAAACACGTGGACCCTTTCATCTCTCTGTATACCAATTGCCTACTCTTACATCCTGCTCAATAATATTCCATGGCTCCCTATTGCCTATTAAACTAAGCACTGACTTCTCAGCCTGTGCATTTCAGACCTTCCACAGTACCTCCCCTGGCCTCATCTCTCACAGTTTGTCTAGATACCCTTTACAAAACTAGTCAGGCTGGGCTACAAGAGCCTTAAGGTCTTGCCCATCTTCCTGTGTTTTGAATCAGTGGTTCTTAATCCTGACTGCACATTAGAATCACCTGAAAAGCTTTCCAAAAATGAGAATCACTGTCAAGCCATATTTTTTATTTAAGCCATCATACCGGAGCAGTCTCTGGCCTCTGGCTACAGGCAAGTTGACAAATGCAGATTGTTTATAATATCCCATCGATTGCAAATGCACAGACCTTTGTTTAGCTAGAAACACTGGGGAAAAATTCTTAACCACAGTCACCACAAAGACTCCTTTAAACCAGAGCTGCAAAATTTGATAGAGAAACGGTCAACAAAAGTAACTGACCTAATGAAGTCTTAAAAGGGACTAAAATTCCATGCATCAGAGGAACATGTGACTGTTAGCAGGCTAACCTCAGGTTTCAGTTCTGAAGATACAGCTCACCTCAAGTTAGGGCAGCTGGTCCAGAGCCTTCCTGCAACCCAGAATCCTCCATGGCACCTGTAAACAACCTGTGATCCAGTTTGGATTTGTAAAATCTCAGACTACACAGCATCCCATACACTGTGGCGCTGAACACCCACCCCAATAATTCTGCAATATCCAAACTGATGATGGCTGTCGGCTTCTTCCGTTCCTTCATTTCATTCCTATAATCCTATGAGCTGGTGAGGTTTTGGCCCCCAGTTTCAAGGCAGAGAAACTGAGCTCAGAGGGTATGTATGACTTGCCCACCATATCACATGGCCAGTCAACAGCAGAAACCAGGCTTTGAACTCAGATCTGGCTTATTGTACATGCAGTGCTGCTTCCTCTGGCCCATCCTGCCTGTCAGGAAACATGTTTGCCCTTTTGAATCATCCACAAATAACATCTGAAGAAAGGGCTTGCTGACAATACCCAATGTCAGTGTAAATATAAGTAAGGCTAGACTAGCAGCCAACGGGACTCCCGTCCTGTCTCTTGAAGTAACCTCAGACAAAGCTCGAAACACCTTCGGGCCTGGAATATGGGACTTGAGACACTGAAATGTAATTCGTGGTTAAATGTGTAGGCTTTGGACTCACTGTATCCAAACTTCATTCTGCCACTTTCTAGTTGTGTGTGCCCTTGAGCAATTTACTTAAACCTCTCTGAGCCTCATTTTCCATATGGTTAGAAGAAGATGACAGTAGTGTTTACATCAGAGTTACTAAGAGGATGAAATAAGTAAAAATATGAACTATTTAGAGAATACTTAGCACAAAAGTACTCAAATATTAGCAATTATCACCTACCTAGTCCAATGGTCCTGGTTATTTATTATCTATATTTATCATCTAACATTTCTTTTTGAATGAAGATTTTCAGGGCAATAATAAAAGTAGATCACACACAATGGGATGCCAAAAAATTTGAAAGGAATACACTCTGGGTTTGTTTTCTCACAAGATCTTGAAGGAAAGATGAGTTTCTCCTTTATCTATTTCCCCCCTTGCCTTCTTCCTCCCCTAATCTATTACTATCTTGAACTTTTATTTGAATCTTTTCATATTTAACTGATAACTAAGTCTTATTTTATTGATTAGACTCTTAGTAACTCAGAGGGATAGCATGTATGTTTTTAATTTCCATCTATCTGTCTTAAACCCTAACACTGAGTCTTGCAAAAAGTGGGCATTCAATACTTCCTGAATTCATTTTTCAAGGATTGTTTGGACCCCTGTTCATATTCAGATATTCCATATTGCCAGCTTACTCTATAAACACATGTGTTAGACCATCTGGATTAGACTGTAAACTCCTAAGAGCAGGTTTGAGTCTTTCTTTCTTCACTTTCTTTTGACACTGTGCATTTGATAACTATGTGCTTGCAGCTATTTATTTCCCATCCAAGACAGCCTTTTATGCCTTTCCATCATCAGCCTATGGATGGCAGAAATATAAGGGTTTCCATTTCTTAAAAAGTTAAACATAAATTTGCCATATGACCCAGCCATTTTCTCCTAGGTATCTACCTAAGAGAAACAAAAACAAATGGCCACACAAAACTTGTATTGAATGTTCATGGTAGCACTATTTATAATAGTAAAAAAGTGGGAATACCCACATGCCTGTTGGTTGGTGAATAGATGGACAAGATGTAGTATATCCATACAATGAAATATTCACCAGCCATGAGAAGGAATGGAGTACTGACACATACTACAATGTGCCTGAACTTCAAAGACATAGTGAATGAAGCCAGACACCAAAGACCACATATTACGTGATTACATTTATAAGAAATGTCTGGAGAAGACACACCGATAAGGGACAGTAAAAAGAAAACAGTTGCCTGGACTAGGGGTGGGACTAGGAGGTATATAAATGGTCACAAGATTTCTTTTTGGGGTGGTAACAATACTCTAAAATCGGATAGCAATAATGGTTGCACAACTTGGGAAATCATTGGATTGTACACTCAAAACAAGATTTTTTGGGATATAAATTATTACTCAATAAAGCTGTTAATATAAATCAAAAAGTAAACAAAAATATGTAAACATTCCTTCAACAAGGGTATTTTTCCCCATCATACACACTAGTTCATTCAACAACAACCTGAAAGCAATGTTAGAAAATGGACAATGTACTGGGCCATGGGATGAAGAGATAAATATAGCAGCATCCGTAAGGAATTCTTATAGGTCCATAAGAAAAAAGACAACTGATAAAATAGAAAACAGAGCAAAAGACTTGAAAAGGCGTTTCACAGAGGAGCTATCCAAATGGCCAATAACATTAAAAGGGGCCTAATCTCATTAATAATTAAGGAAAGCCAATCAAAGTCATAAGGAGGAACAATATACACTCACAAGGGGATGACTATAAAAACAAAATGGCAAATGCCATGTACTGGGGAGAATGTGGTACACCAGAGCTCTCATATACTGCTGGCAGGAGCCTAGTGAAAAACACAGTATTAGCATTGCAGAACATAGCATTCTCTGTGACTCATCAATTCCTCTCCCAGGTATAGACCATCAGAGATGTGTTCATATGTTCACTGAAAAACAAGTTCATACCAGCAGTATCCACAAGAGTAGCAAAGTGAAAACAGCCCAATGTCCATCAACAGTAGATAAATGATGACATAATTTGTACAGTGGAAAACTCTACACTTTGAGAATGAATAAACTATCACTACATGTGAGTGAATCCCACAGATGGGATATGGAGCAAAAAAGAAGCCAAACGCTAAAAATTTCACATAGTATGGTTCCATTTATATGAAATTCTTACAATTCAGGACAATGGTTATTTTGGGAAAGCATAGTGAAGGCACAGTGGGGTATCAGGGATGCTGGTAATAAACTTCTTGATCTAGATGCTGGTTACACAGGGCTGTTTTCTAGGCTGTATACATATGTGTGCACCTTTCTGTATGGATGCTACATTTCAGTACAGTTTGTTAAAGAAAATAGCATAATCCCTTACCTCAGTGACCATATAATCTAGATTCTAGAGTGATGCTTTCCAAACATTTTTGACTGTGCACCTCTATCAGTAAAGCTCCCAAATATACATTTCTATTATTTATAAACTAGATACATAAACCACTAAGCCAATAAGTATACTATAAAACACAAAATTAAAATTTTTAAAGGGTTACATTAAAAGGTATATTGCATACAAGTAGAAGCTCTAATATTATCTTCCTGAACTATAGTGGGTGTTTCATGCATTTCTTGGGAATCAGTGTTCTCGAGAGTCACCTTCAAGAAGACCATGGAAAGGAAAAAGTTCATGTGCTGAAAAT